GTTTTTTGCCTTCCTCATCTTTGATTTGTCGCAACTCATCTATAAGATCAATCACAGTTTCTTCACTTCGGCTTTTCCTCTTCTCCAGCTCTACTCTGAATATCGCCTCCACCTTCTTCCGGGCCTGCAATATTGGATTGGATAAATATTGTAATGGGAAGCTTGGTTATAAAGCTAGGATAATTCAACTCGACATTGCTTTCTTGGTGTTATCATCATTTTGCGCTGTAGTGTCATATTGAACTCGTTGGACAAGAATATAACTTCAAATTCGTATGCAGAGCAGTAATCATTGTGCAAGTTAAGGAGAACTCAGGTGGTCATTTTGAATTTTACTACTTTCGCCCAACTTATTTGATTGGTAGAAAGTTTAAGATTCCAATTCGATTGAACCTGCAAAGTGCAGTGATATGTAGTTCTGGGGAAATTGAGCGGCTGAGCTCTCATTCCCTTAAGCATATCATGAAATATCATGAAATAAGCGATCCATCTTTTCCAATTGCGGCCCTGGCTCAAAGCTTGCAAACAGCTTCCCGACGCTCTCGAAGGTCACCTGGAAGCAAAGAAGATGAACAAAATTTAAGAACCACTAGTAAAACATTGAGGACAATCCAACGGGAAAAACTTAATCTTGGGGACGATGAAGTTATCTGATGGGGAGCTTATGCGAAGGACTACACCTTCTTAGTTTCATGGAAAGCGATAATTCTGCCTTTTTCAGCCCACAACTCGAGGGCAGCGACCAAACGCGGCTGTACCAAAGCAGCTATTCGGCAAAGAGCATCAGGTCGGTTGACGGCATTCAAGACAAAGCTCCTGAGCCTGGCATGTGCCTTTCCGTGAACCGCCACTAGAGAATTTGTGCCCACAATATCGACATTCGGCCATTTAGAGATAAATGTGTCCTCGGCTCGGTAGACAAACTTGTTCACTGATGGGAAGCATGCTATGATGGAAGGCGATCCGAAGAGGTGAGTCCTGTACATTCCTACTCCATCACCATACCTGAAACATGTACAGAGACATCAGTAGAAACCTGAGACAAACGCGCTCTATCTCTTGGTTTCATTTTTCTTATTGTTTCATATACAATGCTGCATAAGTTCAGTCACAAGCATACAATCTAAGATTCGATAGCGAACGGTGATCATACTTCCGTCTTTTAGAGTTTATGAACTCATCCGGGCGGCGGAGAATCTTGAAGTACCAGAGGAAGGTGAAAATTTCTCTGAAGAAGGGAAACCCCATGTGTCCCAGCGGCAACTTCGCACGTGTCGGAACATCTTCGCTTCACCGGCCACACATACCAAATCTCATTCCACCACCACAAGCACCATCCTAGAATTGGGATGAGCCCCAGAATCCAACCCAACCACGCTCCCATTGATGTAACCAGCGTAAAATAAACACATCATAGATGCTCAATTGCTTTCAGGTTTCATTGATTCTGTTGAGATTTTCCCTTTCCCTTACTGTCAGCCTCATTCACTCATATACTGGAGGAGACCCCTTTATATACAAGTACAGGACTAATCCCAACCGTAGATTTTTCCTCAATCTAACAGTGGAGATTGCATCGCCCCATCTACCAACTACCCCATTTATTACAAGAAGACTCTAGAATAGGGTACAATTACAATATTGCCCGCCCCTAGGAATATTCTAGAGAATACTAAAGAGGCTCGCCCGGTCTTCTCGGATGGTTCACGGTCCTTCGAGTATAGAAAACCTTAGGACCGTGACATTCTCCCCTTTCTAATTGGGCGACGCCCTCATTGCATCTTCAGCATGAAATGCGTCCATTTGCTTCTTGAATTGCCAAAAAGCTTCCGCAGGTTCCCAACTAGCTTTACTCTCAAGAAGACCCTTCTATCGAATCAAATATTCTCGTTTCGGCTCACGGCATCGCTTTTGTATGACTCAATCCGCGCTGATAAAGTCGACATCTCGATCATATGAGGTTTTTGCCCCAACCCGCCTGTTTCAACTCCCCTCAATCCTGGTCTTCTTCGTTTACATGAAAAGCTTAAGCATACTAACATGCAACGTACCTTTAATTTCGGCGGAAGTTCCAGCTTGTATGCGATCTTCCCGACTCATCGCAGCACTCAGAACGGCACCCTCGTAGAAACCGATTAGCCCTTTGTGCACGTCTCGGTATCGAAGGACCAGGTGCAATTTGGCCAACACTAGGTCCCCAACATGGAGCTCTACGTGTCGTCGCTTCTTATCAGCCCACTTCATGCGCTTCAAGGCCTTGTGTAGACAAGTTCGCGCTAAGTCCACTTGCTAAAGTCACTTCTTGACAAACTTTTAAGCGGATGGGCTACTCCCTTGATAGCCTGTTGCAATCGTGCTCAGAGTGAGTGGTTGTTACGCTATCACGATCTCGAATGGACTCTGCTTTGTGGACTCGCTCTACTGTGGTTGTGTGAGAACTGGGCTACTTTGCCCAACTTACCTGCGTTGTGCTCACGTAATGTCAAAGGTACAACTCCAAGAGCGCATTTACTCTCTCCGTTTGGCCGTTAGTTTAAGGATACAAACTTGTGGAGAAGTTAAGATCCGACCTAGCAGCTTAAAGAGTTTAGTCCAGAACTTATCAGTAAATCGAAGATCGCGATCGTGCACGATCGTTTGTGGTACGCCCCAATACTTGACAACGTGCTTCAAAAATAGTCCGTCTCCTCAGCTAGGCAATCCTTCGTCACTGACACTAGCATCGTGTACATAGAGAACCGGTCTACCCTGACCATGAGAGTCCAATATCCTTCGGACTTCGGCAAGTTCACGATAAAGTCCATAGAGATGTTGGAAAACATCCATATGGGATTAGAAAATCAAGAAGAAACCCGAGAAAGAAACTACTCTTATTCTTGGTTCGAATACTTTTTCATATGAATAAAGATTATTACTTCCCTTTTTTCGAGCTTATAAATTTGTCAGGGTGGCGAAGAATCTTGAAGTACCAAAGAAAGGTGAACATTGCCCTGGAGAAAGATTATCCCATATGTACCGGCGGTAACTTCATGCCAGCGTCGGGACATTTACGGTAATGTGCATCGAATTTCATTCCTCTGCCACAATAACAATTAAATTATATTTCGAGTTTGAGTCATTGGACAATACACCAAGACTAAAATTCATCTAATTGGGGCATCTCGCCTTCTATCTTTGAGTAATCCCATTGTGGTGGTTTAGTTTTTTGCCCTTTCATATTCTGTTGGCCATTGTTTGGCCTTGTTTTGCAACGCTTGTGTTGCTTTTTTACGTTGACTAGTCGGTACACCCTTGCACCAGTCGGGACACCCTTCCGTGTCTCTTCATGTGCGGGGTTTTTGTGTTCGGCTACTCTTTGTATATTACGTTGAAAAGTTATAACAATCCTTACCTTACCAAAAAAAAAAATTTGTTTACATACGTCATCGTGCTGATTTTGTGGATTTGGCTGCACGCGTTTTCATCTAATGTTCAGTGGCACATGAGCTGCATTTATTGTAAGTTGTGCATGGGTCTCATTTGAGAGAGATCTGTTGAAGACAAATGAGACGGAACTTTTTGACTAATGTGCAGCAGAGTCTTCAATTTCTTTCCCGCGCAGGATTTCCACGGGCTGCACATTTAATGAAGAAGACTCCAATTGGCATTATAAGGAGTTGCATGAACCGAGAAGATGACTTCTTCTCTGCATACATAAATGAAGGGGCCCTACCTTTGACATTATTACATAACTATCAAGAAGGTGTGGGCTTGTTTTGTTTTTATTCATTGATTTCCTCACAGGGCAAACCGAAAGGAAGGGAAGACTTCTTCATGCGTAATACATGGGTGCAGACTCCTCTGTATATAACTGGAGAGCTCATTGTGAGTTCTCAAAAGAAGCAAGCCGGGAAGAGTATAGAGAGCTCCAAAAGACGAAGAGAGGTGTAAGCTCGGAGAGATTTGCACGGAGAGTTCATTGAGTTGAGTTATTAAACATTGTGGGTATTGAGTATATACTAGGGCTGAGAAACACTTAAGCATGAGTAATTGTAACCCTATAATTTTCCGATTTATTAGTAGATTATTTGCCGGTTTTCCTTGTGGATGTTGGTTCCGACATTCGGATCGGACCACGTAAATTTCTCGTGTCCTTTTATTGTTCCTTATTTTATTTCTCTGTCGATTTTTACAGCTCCTGACTTAATTGTAAAGTTACGATCCGCTTCCGCCGCGTTGCCGATTAAACAACAACAATCAACCCAGAAGTCGAACAAGCCCCAGAGTCCAGCCTAACCACACTCCTATTAGTGTACTGTACATCAATTTGCACTTCATTACTTGTTGATTCTTGATAAGTTGCAACTCTTACTCTATCTAGCTACATAACAGATACAACCTGCCTCATATGACACATCACTGAAAGCAACTGCACTGTTTTTTCAACAATTAAGTGGCAACTAATTGCTCATAGGCACAGAGTTTTACGAATCGTCGTCCATCATCTAGAGGAGGTTGAGAACTTGAGAGGGCTTTTGGAGTTTACTGTATGAAAAGACTTGGGAGTTTCGTTTGAAGGACTTCCAACGGATTCGTTAAGTTGTTTCAGAATGCAAAAATTTATCTCACGTTGAAAACATGATTCACATTCCTGAGGATTTACTAGAGAACAGATATATTTACAGTGCCTTGCCGGCATCCTGCGTCGCATATTAGTATTGACACGCAATATTGCAGACTTAATTACTGCACATGGCATAGTGTCTTAGCAAATCTTTTGGACTACGAATCCCAATATAAAGTGGTTGGTTTTGTTCCTACGTAGATCATCACTAATCACAATAGTAAGCTCTAATGTACTTTTTGTAGGGGATCACCCGATTCCCATGCAAAGGTTCCTTTTGGATTTTTACTTTTTCAGTTCTTTGTAATATTTGGGTTGAAACAACTAGGATACAGCATGGGATCGGAAAGTATGACTATTTTATTGTGATTATACTTTTTTCCAGTTGAATCAGTCCTCATAGCCTGGTGAAACTAACTTCAACTTCATCAACTGGTGCAGGGTGGGGAAGATAGACAAAATCCGCGTCCGAGTTAAGCAATTCCCACCTGAAAATTCAATTGCCAAACATTGGTGTAAATTTTATGGTCCAAAGAATTGGAATTTCTCTTAAACTCGGTGAGTAAAAGCTTCACTTTTTTTCTTACTTGTATCCTACTGATAAGTGATGCAGTAAAATAGCCAGTTGAATCCTCGCAAGCATGTTTCCTGGACACATTCTCGATCCCCCACCAAACACTTGGTATGCCTCCGGTTTTGCAGATTCCTGAAGAACGTGACCAAGTATTACATAGGTTTTCCCAAAAGACAACAAAGTAGGAAAAAAGGAAAATAATTGCTTTGTCCATGAACATAATTGATATCGAGTCTTACATTCCACCTATCTGGGTTAAAGCACATTGGGTCATCAAAGTTTTCTGGATTCGTGTGGAGGTATCGGAGCCACAGAATCACTTTCCATCCCTGTGGTATTCTATAACCTGCACAAATTTCAGAGATCGTTACTGCTAAACTCTAACTTTAACTGCTCTGGACAGGACTCGGCAGTCAGCAGCAGCTCTTGTGTATTGCAAGTCACAACAGTTCTTGTAGGTACAACATATCTGAGTCGGTACATACTAATCGTGTAATAATTGCAGAGAAAATCATTAGGTACAAAATGGCCTTAAAAAGGCAGTCTTGAGAAAACAACAATTTGAAGATCTATCTCGTGATAGAGCTGCAGGCCATAACGCATAAGCTAAGATTGTCTATCTGCAAGACTTGGATGGTTTCCTACCTTTGTAGTCGATGTCCTTTGTGACCAATCTGAATAGAAAATGTGAAATATTGGCCATTCTTAGTGTCTCCTCCACCACCTGTATGTCACTAATTGTCATCTTCGAAAACTTTTTAGATCTTTTCGTGAAATGGTCACTCGAACTCTAAATTCTCCTATGATTTTACCTGTCTAGTATATTTCATGTTCGAGACATCTTCGCTCGTGATGAGCTCGCCCTTCTTGTTCTGGCTAATGGACATGTTCTCTTCCTGCCATTCAAGTCAAGATTCACAAGTTGCAATGAAACAGTGGATAACCAAGCGTTACAAAGTCGGACGATGTCCGTACCCGGAGTTTCTTTAGAACATTGGGAGACTTGGCGAGATAGTAAATCGCCCACATTGATGCAAGTGAAGTGGACTCATAACCGGCGAATACAAAGCTAACGATGTTATCTAGCACTTCTTGGTCAGATAGGTTTTTGCCTTCCTCATCTTTGATTTGTCGTAAATCATCCATAAGATCAGTCACGGTTTCTTCACTTCGGCTTTTCCTCTTCTCTAGCTCTACTCTGAATATCGCCTCCACCTTCTTCCGGGCCTGCAATATTGAATTGGAGAAACATTTCGGATCATTTGGGGTTTGAAATGGGCAGCTTGGCTATAAAGCTAGGATAATTCAACTCGACATTGCTTTCTTGGTGTTACGATCATTTTGCGCTGTAGTGTCATATTGAACTTGTTGGACAGTAATATAACTTCAAATTCGTATGTAGAGCAGTAATCATTATGCAAGTTAAGGAGAACTGAGGTTGCCGTTTTGAATTTTACTACTTTCGCTCCACTTATCAGATTGGAAGAAAGTTTAAGATTCCAATTCGATTGAACCTGCAGAGCACGGTGATACGTAGTTCCGGGGAAATTGAGCGGCTGAGCTCTCACTCCTTTAAGCATATCATGAAATAACCGATCCATCTTTTCCAATTGTGGCCCCGGCTCAAAGCTCGCAAACAGCTTCCCAATGTTCTCGAAGGTCACCTGGAAGCAAAGAAGATGAACAAAATTTAAGAACCACAAGTAAAACATTGAGGACAATCCAACGGGAAAAACTTAATCAAGTGGACGATGAAGTTATCAGATGGGGAGCTCAAGCGATGGACTACACCTTCTTAGTTTCATGAAAAGTGACAATTCTGCCTTTTTGGGCCCACAACTCGAGGGCAGCGACCAAACGCGGCTGAACCAAAGCAGCTATTCGGCGAAGAGCATCAGGTCGGTTAACGGCATTCAAGACAAAGCTCCTGAGCCTGGCATGTGCTTTTCCGTGAACCACCCCCAGAGAATTCGTGCCCATAATGTCGACATTCGGCCATTTAACGATGAATGTGTCCTCAGCTCGGAAGACAAACTTGTTCACTGATGGGAAGCATGCTATAATGGAAGGCGATCCGAAGAGGTGAGTCCTGTACATTCCTACTCCATCACCATACCTGAAACACGTACACGGACATTAGTAGAAACCTGAGACAAACACGCTCTTTCTCTTGGTTTTATTTTTTTTTATAGTTTCACATACAATGCTGCATAAGTTCAGTCACAAGTATTCAATCGAAGATTCAATTGTGAATGGCGATCATACTTCTGTCTTTTAGAGTTTATGAACTCGTCCGGGCGGCGGAGAATCTTGAAGTACCAGAGAAAGGTGAAAAATTCTCCGAAGAAGGGAAACCCCATGTGTCCGGGCGGCAACTTCACACTGGTGCCGGAACATCTTTGCTTGACCGGCCACGCGTACCAAATCTCATTCCACCACCACAAGCACCATCCTAGAAGTGGGATGAGCCCCAGAATCCAACCCAACCACACTCCCATTGGTGTACTGAATCGTTCTTACTTGTTGTTTCTGTCACACTCCGAAACCTACCAGGATGAGGAATGACACGTCATCCTTCCACCCGAAGAACGTAGCCTGAAACCACAATCAAAGAACAAACTCTCAAAAAATCCCTGTTGATATCGCTCTCACTCTAATGACTACTAACCAAGGAACCTGAAAAGATTGGGAAAAGAGAGAGGTGAGCAACCACAGCTCAGTAAGTAGTGTGTATCTCTTCTAAGCAGATCGAGTAACCACTATACACACAGTTGTAAGACCAAACCAGAGTTTATCTAACCCAATTCCAGCAAATAACAAACTTTAAGGTCAAAATACATTATATACTACTTTAACATAATGTTTTCACAATAGAAATGCTCATTTCAATCAATAATATCAAAGCAAAAACTAATGGTCGATTCCATTGGCCAATCTCATCGAAAACACACGTCAATGGTCCATTTTATTGGCCAATCTCATCGAAAAACACACGTCAATGGTCCATTTCATTGGCCAATCTCACATTCAGAAATCTAACTATGATTACGGATAACGCCCCATGAAAAGGCAACCAAGATTCCTCCCTCGGCAAGTTCTCCACCTACTATAAGCTGGTGACTCAGCCCACAAGGATATCCTAAAATAGTATGCGCATACTCACAAACCCTTATTGGGTTCACAGAGATACCGATCATCAAACACTTATCCTCAACAATATCCTCCACAATTCCAAATCCATAAATCATTTCATAACCAATTTCATAAATCACAATATGGTTTTAAAACCATTTCATAAACATAATTCACAAATCGATATGTATAACCTTTAAAAACATCTTCCATGAAACATTTCTCAAATTATCTTGAAACTCGTTCCATAAACCAGTTCACAACATAATACACATATATCCGTTAACAATATTTTTCTTAAAATCATTCTCAAATCGTTCTCAAATATTAAAATGTAGTAATTGCCCAATCTAGGATTTTATGCAACAAACATGCTTCACTAACTCGTACGATTACTCAAATCTTTATCACTTTCAAAACATGAGTTTATAAACTCAAAGAAGAGACATCACCACTTACCTGGGAATGCCTACAATCAAATGACAAAAATTACTCGAATTGTCAAACTCATAATCCTAGCAATTAAACGAGAATTGACGTCAAAACTAAATAAAATACTACGATAACTATGAAATGGCTAAACGACGCTTAAATGCTAACAAGACAACTCATAGGCGCCCACTAATCGCTCATCCAAAGTGATTATCCAAACTGTCCGCAACGTGGAGCTTCAGCGCGAAACTTGGTTACGCCAAAACTCTTTCCATCGAACTCCATTCCAAGCGAGCTTATAGTAAAAAGAAAGCCTATTCAAAGAACTATAAGACACCCAACTTGGCCGTCCCAAAATCGAGCTGAAAACCAACGAAAATCAGCCTAAAAGCTGCTGGTCGCGCACTGTTCACCACGCACGCTTAACTTCAAAAATTCGTTTCAGGCAAATGGTAAGTCCAAATCGAGTTCCACAAAATCCCACGGCTCCACGACACCCTAAACTACCAATTCTATACATATACACAGCTCAACGACTCAAAAATATGCGGGTTGAATTTCACCAAACTCCGAAATTTGAGCCCTAACCCGAAAAATACTCCGATTGAACGAACGAGGGACTCGAATACTTACCGGGCATTGCGATACGAAGTTGAATCGGCTTGCCGAGATCCACGAGACGTTTATGCGCAAGCTTTTTCCTTTCTCTTTTCTTTTCCCTCTCCTTTCTTTCTTTTCTTCTTTTCCTCTCTTTCCGTTCTGTTTCTCGGGAACTCTTGGCCCCTTTTAAATCTGAAGATGTCCACTGTTTGCTTCTTTGTTAACTTTTCAACCCCTTTTTTTTTAAGTCCAAACATTACAGTTTCTTGAAAACTTGCTCACTCTTATTAATTCTGGTAGACATGAAACCTGCCCCTTACATAAACACATCACAGTCGCTCAATCGCTTTCGGGTTTCATTGATTCTATTGAGATTATTCCTTCGATCCATCGTTCGCTAAGAGACAAGCCATATCACTCCCTCCGCTGAAAGCGACACAAGAAGTTTCGCTGGCAGCTTCACGTTCAATGGCACAACCTTTTTCTTTTAAACTAGTACCGATAGAGGCAAGAATGATTCATGTGCTGACGCGTTGAGGCTAAGTTCTAGAAGTCATCGTCCCACGTATGAGAGAGCTTTTTGGAGCTTACAACAGGAATCTTTTCAAGCAAAATGGTTAAGATCATCAAAAATCTTAAATTGATATCTCGTGGCACAGTTATTTCAACATATTTTTCGTCTAATAAAAACTTACAAACTAGTGCCGATGACTCAAATTTAGATCCGTTGGCATTCTGCCAATATTCTATTAAACTGCTTAGATACGTGACACATAACTGTAGGAGAGATCTGAAGCGAACAACGGTAGAACGATGTGGAAAATCTACATGCGTTGATACGTATGAATTTTAACTAAATATTGGATGGGATACTCAGAATTTTTTATAAGATGAAAATTAGTTTATGGTATATAATTGAGGGGTACCAAAATTCAACATTTGTAGTAGTATTGACCCATCAAAAAAAAAATTGGGACTCCACATTTGAACAGGCAAATTCTACTTTCGCAATTTTTCTTCTTTTCATTATCTCTAAAAGAGAAGATAGGCCTCGCTGTTCATGCTCGCAATAATGTTGTTTCTTTGAAAGGATCACCCAACAGTGTTTGAGAGACGCGAAGATAAGGACAACATTGAGAGCTTTTTGGCCATTTTCTTCAATTTGGGTTTTCAATTCACATGCACATAAGAGTTGAACTTGTATAGACATAAAGCCATAGAGTTGCGAACAAGAGCACGTCGCTCTCTACTCCCGACAGCCCTAATACGCACAAGAATGAGAGAGATCTTCAGAGAGTAATGGCCCGTCACGAAAAATACAAACATTCTATTCGTTATATACTACGATGGGTTTATAAATGGAAAAATGATGCACCTGCAACCGATAGAGATCGAAAAGAAATCGAATTTTGTCTCGTTAGGAGAATCTCCCTCATTTTAGTTGTATTTACAATCATGCTATCCATGCCACGTCTCTCTTTGTCCCAATTCTCGTTCCTTATTCTTCAACTTCTTTTCGTTAAATCCATCTTAAAATAATGTTTTCTTGTTCAATAAGTCAGAAATAAACAAACCAAAAGCAGGGGAACACGACACCATAGGGAGGTAGTTGGAGCTTAGAAAGATTTGAACTCAAGACCTCCAGTTCTGATATAATATGAGATTTTGTAGGACCACTATCAATTATTCTAAAAGTTTAAGCTGTTAGATGAAAGTGTAGTTTAATATTTAATTACTTTAACACTGCACAACACCAAGACCTTTCAATTCCGACACAAAAGACCTAAACATATCGATGGAAAGTTTACTTTCAGTAGCAGAGGAATTAAGGAAACGACACTGTACAACCTTTTTAATCGTCGAAAGAGTCGCATCAACACTAACAACATACGAAGTGTAATGTAAGCAACAATTCCTAGCATTCCACATAAAGTAAAGAAAAAGCAGCAAAAGAAAGTGTTAGAAAGACCAACAAAAAACTTAAACTTTAAAATAGTTAATAGTGATCTTATAAAATTTTACATGGAATCAGAGTTAGGTTCTACCACTTTTGCATGTGAGTCCATCTTATTATTCAATTTTTTTCACATGCCACTTTTAATCCGGCTTGCACGTAAGAGGGCTGTTGAAATATCATAAATCGGTTGATATTGTGGTTTATATTTTCTCCATTACATACATACGGTCTCTTCCACTTATAAGCTTATAAATTTGCATTGGACATTCTGCCCTTTCGTGTGTGCATCCACCCATGTTAACAAATTTCATATGTCACTCTTAATCCGGCTTACATGTAAGAAGGTCTTGAAACATCCTTGACATTGGGGTTTATATACTTTTTATATACATATAATTTTCTTTCAACTATAATACAGAATCGAAGTCAGATTATGTCCCTTTCTCATGTGCTTCTATCCCTATTAGTCAAATAACATGATATGAAAGCTAGGTTCCACCTCAAACATGAAGTGAACGGTTCCCATTGAGTTTGCTTGGTATTAAATGGAAAACTAAGAGAAGTGAACCAATCTACTTTTAACACGTCAATATCTTGACTTGTTCAAAGTTTGAATAACACTGAAGGTGCTCAACAAGAGTAGCTATTGCACCGCTCGGTAGTTGAATTATTATTTGATCCTAAGGTTTTTGAAATTTCCGTCAATTAGGTTTTTTGGTTCTGTCGGGTGGAATGATGCAAGAGAATCCCACATTTGGCACTCCAATGTCACTTCATGTGGTTGACACATTATTTTTTTGTTTTGGCCAGGTTGTTTATGATCAACAGTCGACAAGCATATTCGTTTTGGAGACTTGCTTTGCTTTTCTCTTGTCCCTTTTCACACCAGCCGCCGTGTTATAAAATGTATTTGCTTAATCATAATCTTATAATGGGTGAATATACAAGGACACAGAACATTTGGGAAGTCAAATTCTGTGCATCTCCCCAAATTGCATTTGAGTTCTAATTTATGAAAAAATGTATCATATGACAGTTAGGTCACGTGTCACAAGATTGCAATTTTTCGAATTAAAAGTTATATTTTTAAAGCTATTTGTTTACCTAATATTTTGGTTAAAACAAATAAGATAAAGGATACAAAAAAGAGAAATGATTAAATGACTGTCCTTAATATACTGTGTGAGCTTAACAGCATGTCCAGGCCACAAAAAAATAAATAATAAATAATTATATATTATTATGAGTTCCACTCCTTCGAGAATTTGTGGCTCACAACATGCTCTTGCTCTCATAATAGTGTTCACGTCCCTAGCAACTTGTAGGATTTTACGGATTGCAATAGGGACTTCCCATATGAGAGAAATAGATTTTTCA